TACATAACGTTACGTTACAAACTCAATTTCGAATCGAAATGAAAACCCAAATCACGAAAACTACACTTCTATAATACACAATAATAGGTTTAAGCTATTGCATAGATTTTATCTCGGGCTTTGAGCGCGGCGACTGAATCAAGAAATTCCGTAACGAAAATAGCCTGACACTCCCACTACGCCTACTATGTAGCTCGCGTTCAACACATTCACACGTTGCGCTTGTGTAGTGTTTGTGAATAAGCGCGCGGCGTGACGTCACACTGCATGCGCATCATGAAAAGTCTGCCCATCTCTCTCTCGCGCGGTCCAGCTTATGAGTGTGAAGGGGACAGTTAATGTTTTGCTTTTATTAATGTTTAATATAGCGTGGTCTTGTTTTATTATTGTTTTAATATTAAATTATCATTGTCTAATTATAAATGCATAAGGTGATAAAATGCTATGCAATAACTTTACCGCGGCACTTCCCGAGTGCCACACGTGTTTTTTTTCATGCGAGAAGATTTATAACATTACGCTATTTTTTAGTATCCGTTGGGAGTAAATTATTCGGCCAACAAATAAATAAATTATTCAAAACATTCTGCGGCTCTAAACGAACGTCAAAGGACTTTTAAATACTTTTTTTATCATCGGCGTTCATGGTGAATTTCGATTTCGTGAAAACGCTTCCAGTTAAAATGAACGCAAATTTTATTCTAAATGCACAATTATAAATTAACTTTTTACTAAATTTTTTTGTCTTTCTCAGCTATCTTTTTTTTTATTGCTTATATGAATGATGTTAAGTGGTTACTGGAGCCCATAGACATCCACAACGTAAATGCGCCACCCACCTTGAGATACAAGTTCTAAAGGTCTCAAGTATAGTATCGACGACTGCCCCACCCTTCAAACCGAAACGCATTGCTGCTTCACGGCAGAAATAGGTAGGGCGGTAGTACTTACCCGCGCGGACTCACAAGATGTCCTACCACCAGTAATTACGTAAATTATAATTTTGCGGGCTTGATTTTTAATACACAATGTTATTCGTCACTGTGGAAGTCAATCGTGAACATTTATTAACTACGTATTTCATTAGAAAAATTGGTACCCATCTGCGAGATTCGAACACGGGTGCATTACTAGATACAAATGCACCGGACGTCTTATCTTTTGGGCCACGACGACTTCAAATAGTTAAGTTATCTACATTACAACGCTATTGACAGGTTTTTACTACAATTTTATGGCCATAGCATAATAATATAATTATCACAAACTCACAAAAACAAAAAATCTCATCCAATAAATGATAGTGTTTATAAGTTTTTATTAAACACGAAACAAAACTGCCACATTGCTTTTTAGAAATTTAAAAGTGTTGTCTTACGTTCTTACTTTAGATTCATATTTTAATATTATTTTCTCCGTGGCAACAGTTGTCTTGGGAGCCGTTTTATGATAAAACTTTTCCATCATAACTTTAAGAATATATTTATACATTTTTATTTTATGAAAGTTTAACGTAAAAGATTCCATTTTTTTGAATTTTTATTTCGGACAATTAACGAAAACTGCATCACAACTAGTTGGGTAATCATTTTTTAACCGCTATCTAGAGTTTTGAAGAAAAAATTGATATCTTCAGTACCAGAGAAGTGGAATAACAAGGCACGTTACAATTTCCAATCAAAGAACCAAAACCTAAAACTTAGGTAAGCGAAATACTTTATAAAACCTTTATTAAAAAATCACAAATTTAACACTGAAGAATTAGCCACTCAAGGCCAATCAGACATGAGCTTTAAAAATTATTTTTTTAATAAGCCACTTAATCCAGTCAGTTCCAAGCCCTTGTATTTAAAGACAGTAAAATTATTTAATCGAAGCTCGCTCAAAATCAATTTGAAAAACAATTTTAATTGTTCATGCTATACAGACGAGCTAACTATTTAATTATTCAACATCGATACTACCACTAATGAGATTAACAATAATTACTTAAGCCTTAATTACTCGCACGTAGATTAAACTCTCTTGCATTAGGGTAATCTTCCACGGGCGTACATAAGCGATATGCGATGAATATCTAATTTATTTTCAACACAACGATTAAAAGACAGCGCGTTAGGCAAAATAACATCATTTGCGACATATTTTTGTGGTTTTGTATTAAAACAAAAACGACAAGAATCCCAAAATTTACTTGCATTAAGAAGTAGTAGAGCTGTGTTACATAGAAATGCACGTGTATTAAACTTTGAGTACGGTCAAGGAATTCGCAATGTAAATTTGTAAGCATTCCACGTTTAACGATCCCACATAAGGTCTTTCTCATGTGTTGTGTGTGCTCAACACTTTATAGGCACACACACTTTTTATACAGTAATTTGAAATAAATAAAAAATACCTGTATAGTCTTTCTTTTCTAGTTTGAATCACGTAATTACTGGTGGTAGGACCTCTGTGAGTCCGCACGGGTAAGTACCACCACTCTGCGTATTTCTGCCGTGAAGCAGTAATGCGTTTCGGTTTGAAGGGTGGGGCAACCGTTGTAACTATACTGATATCTTAGAACTTATATCTCAAGGTGGGTGGCGCATTTACGTTGTAGATGTCTATGGGCTCCAGTAACCATTTAACATCAGGTAGGCTGTGAGATCGTCCATCCAACTAAGCCGGTAGCTTTCTGCCAGTGCGTGTAACTAGCCCGCACGGACTGGTATTGACATGTTGCCTATTTCCACCACTAAGTCACCATAGGTTCTTTCTTATAAGTGAAAGTCTCCTCAAAATCGGTCCAGCCGTTCCAGAGATTAGTAGACACACAGACAGATAAACATACAGACAGACAAACAAAATTTTAAAAAATGTTATTTTGGTGTATATATTCATATGCATGTAGTAAAAAACGGTTATTTCAATATTACAAACAGACACTCCAATTTTATTTATGTGTATAGATGTATAGATTACGTCATAATTGCAAGTCTTAACTCCTCCCTTTGATAGTGGAAGTGAGACATAATTGAGTGTTCGTTCCACTTGTGAACAAGGGTGTTTAATGCGTAATTCGTCTTTGATAATCCATCTGTCAGGATAATGTTATTAATAGCGCTATATACAAAATCACACATTGAGCTAACTAATATTTATTTTGTATTTACATCTAGATAGGAACAAGGAATATTTAATGTTACTGTAAATTGGATTAAATGTAAATGATTACTTATTTCTGCCGTGAAGCAGCGTTTCGGTTTGAAGGGTGGGGCAGCCGTTGTGACTATACTGAGACTTTAGAACTTAAGGCTTCGTCAAACAGAACGCGTAATTAGCGCGCGTCAGAGCGCTACGCTATAGCGCTTATAGCGCTGGCGTTCTGTGTGACGGTATGTTACCACAGTAGTACATCACATCTCGGCGTCATAGCGTAGCGCTCTGACGCGCGCTAATTACACGTTCTGTTTGACGAAGCCTTTATATCTCAAGGTGTGTGGCGCATTTACGTTGTAGATGTCTATGGGCTTCAGTAACCACTTAACACCAGGTGGGCTGTGAGCTCGTGCACACGTCTAAGCAATAAAAAAAATGAATATTAAGTTTGCAAATTGGTTTTAAGCGTTGTCTCAAATAAAATGAATAATTAGTCTTGATACAAATGTCGACAATACACAAGACTGTTACGTGAATTAAAAACAAAACCACGATATAGAACAGCTTCCCGAAAAATTCCGCTGAGAAAATTGCTCTTCATTTGTTACAACTAACGCCATCTATTTTAAGTCAAAGAAACGCTTGCGTAGAAGGTAGAACCCTTTCGTGGCTACGCCGCTGTTCAGTATAATGCATAGTTTCGCGAACATAAAATAGATGGCGTGTTAAATAACTTTGTTAAAGTCAAAATGCTTCGACTGTCAGATTTCAACACCAAGGCGATTTCAGTCCTTTGTTTTTTTACATAAAAGTATGTTTTTTCTGAATGAATTGATATTTCTTGAATCTAAATCCTTCAAACATACAAAACGACATATTGTGGTCAACTCGTTCGCTGCAGTCGACACTTGCTTATATTTTATTAATTTAAGTGTATTTAATATAAAATTGTTACTGTGTTTTTCAAGGAAAAATACTTTATAATAATTGTAAAAGTAACAAAAAACTAGAGGTTGTTTTTTGGAACCGTTGGTAGGGTTATCGACACTTACTTATATTTTATTAATTTAAGTGTATTTAATATAAAATTGTAACTGTGTTTTTCAAGGCAAAATACTTGATAATTGTAAAAGCAACAAAAAACTAGAGGTTGTTTTTTGGAACCGGTGGTAGAGTTAGCGTGTTTCGACATTCATTTCGAAATTAGATAGAAGAAAGAATAGAAAGTTACGAATGAATTCTATTTGACTGGCACTTTCAAATTCACATAAAATTCTATTATATTCTAATTCTATTTTATTCATAAAAATATCAATATTAAATAAAATTTTGCATATAAAATAAATATCTTGATGAGGTAGAGAGAACCTTATGATGTACGCGATAAGGACCCGGAAGATATGTATGTAAATATTCGTATAATATATTGCTACTATAGAAGATACGAATAGAAAAATATAGCTCGCAGCTTCACATATATATATACCTATATATAAAAATATCCATATGTGAAAATCATGTAATGCCTATGAGATTATAATAAATAGGTATGTACATAAACTATAATATTATTGATATTCCTGTTTAAACCAAAACACTGCCCATTCAAATCACGTAGGTATATATTGCATCAGTTATTTATATTCAAAGTACCGAAATCTATTATCTAAACATAGCTAGTTGTACTAAAACAATACTGTTTTGATTAGGATGAAATAAACAATCGGTCAAGCGAGATGAATTTAAAAATAGTTGTGTTCCGTCTATTTTGTGGACAAAAGAAACACAATCTATCTAGAATCTACCTAGTAAGGATTGCAGGAACACTGTTATCCTGATATAAAAAGGTAAAGTCACCCATGACATCATTCAAGTTAGTATTCACAAATTAAATATCACCTCATTGATTGATGAATTAATTTTTAACTTTGACTGTGTTTTCAAACTGCTTTGTAATATACCTATATTATATCACGAGGTAAGTGATGGATGAATGAGTATGAAGAAATAGGAACATAACTAATATCAATTTATATACACTGCTGAGACTGGTTTGGAGGGTAGGGCAGCCGTTGTAACTATACCGAGATCTTAGAACGTATATCTCGAGGTGGATGGCGCATTTACGTTGTAGATGTAGATGGGCTCCAGTAACCACTTAACACCAGGTGGGCTGTGTGCTCGTACACACATCTGAGCAATAAAAAAAAAACTTGGACTGTACGAGAAGTGCTGGACTGGAGGCCTCTTTAATGACATCAGCAGAATAGCCTAGAGCCAAGGAGAGACTCCGAGGCTACATAACGATCAAGACCAGTCTTTCAAGAGTAATGATTGACTTTTTTTCCCCTACCTATGCTGATAGCCTTGAGAGGCTATTTCAGCTTCACCCTAACGTGTGTAGGTGAGCTCACGGGGCTCAAACCGGAGTGTTGCTAGCACTGACCCTAGCAAGAGCAGTGCTTCGCAGAATCTACCACCGGATCGGAAACGCGACCCACTGAGAAGATCTGGCGAGAAACTCAGTGGGCTAACGATTGAGAAAAAAAAGAATGCCTATTTAAAGGTTTCAGTACCCAATCAAATTGCTTATTTTAATCGTTAATGAAGCTATAATACATTTTGATTCGATGCCCAATCACAGTCATTGTTTATTATATATGTTTGCCATTTGAAGTCTCGATGATACTTGATCTTGCCTCGTATGGCAAAGTTTACATATTAGCAGTCATTAGCGCGTGGCTGTTACACAATTCAAAACATAGCCTGTCAATATCGTATTGGATGAACCGTGAATTGCCAGCTGTAAATTGCATAATCCTAAAAACGTAATTTAACATTCCTTAGCTCGAAGACTTAGTAATAAAGCCCCATAAAACGGAGAAAAGTTATCAACAATAAATTTCGACATACCGTACCCAAATTACGTGTGCAGTAAGCCTGTAAACAAAATAAGCCGACGGCATAAACGTGGCTCAGTCATCGACCATACATGTAGTAGCACAAATCAAAACAAACAACTGTTTGAATCAAACATGCACGCGCATTGATAGCAGTTAAACGAAGGCAGTTAATCGACCATTAAAATTATTAAGTGAATGTTGATTGGAGATTTTTCTTGTATAATGTGATGTTTGAAAAGGAGATGAGACGGAACGTATTTGTGCTTTTATCTGTGCTTTTCGTCGTTAGTCTGCAGGTAAGCGAAACGTGGGCATTTGTATGTTATAAATGGGACTTCGATGTCATAGTGGGTGGTAGCGTTCTTCTGTATCAATTGGTTTCACAATCCTCGGACGAATTCATCGTCTTCCCAACTCAATAAATTAAAAAGTCTAACTTAAATATATAGTGCATTTTACCATTAATTTAAACTTATACATGAGACACGACTAAAATAATATACCGATTACAGTTAAGAATCTCATAAGAGATGTATTATATTTCACAACTCCAATGTATTCCTGCAATGTACTCACACGTACCCACAACTCTGGTATTCGCTAAGATGGGGTTTTACGAAATTTCATAAAATCCAAATACGATATGAAAATCCAAATGAAAAAGTTAATTTCGACATTTGGTATCTAAACTTTAATAAATAAAAAGATAATTGGACTTTATCAAACACCTGGGATCCTCTAATCGTAAAAATGAAATCCTAAGTTATAAAAACTGACATATCTCAAGATGCGAAGAAGTTCAAATATTAATAGATATTTTTTTCACAAAATTTGACGGTACATAGCGTAAAAGCTGAAGTTAATATATATATTTCAATTTCATTTCATTTTAAACTAATAACTACCTAACTCATTTTATTTCATTACCCGAAGCTCTTCTGTGTCATTATTAGGTGTAATTACTCTGTAGTGATAGCTTCACACTGATATTAGTGAACTATTTCAAATTTTAATCTTATACCTTTAAACGAGCAATTCTTGTATATTAATATATATGTATATAATCTGAATCTCGGAAATGGCTCCAACGATTTTCATAAAATTTAGTATACAGCGGATTTCGGGGGCGAAAAATCGATCTAGCTACGATTTATTTTCAGAAAATGTTGTTTTATTCGTGTTTTCAATAATCAACTCTTCCTGACATCTATTGGCGAATAATAATACTATTTTTCTTAATTGAGTGCAACTAACCGCTTTAAAGACACACCAAGACGGCGTTACAAGATGGTCGTCATCTAGTAATTATTATATGTAGTAGTTCAATCTGATTTATTCGAAATATCTTAATGCTTATTCCGTTAAAAACTTTCTAGTTACTTTGATGTTATAAGTGCGATTTATCAAAAGATTAATCAGATAGAAACAAAGTTAATAGATGGTTCTATTTAATGTTCTGTTTTATTTCTATGTCGTAAAGTTTACGATCCCTTGTACTCTGTGTTGTTTTTCGCGGCTATTTAAATTGTTGTTGTTTTTATTTTTTCACTAGGCAGTACAGAACGTTCACCGATATCAGCAACAAATTGGAAATTATTTCACCTATAAAAGCCGTCTAGTCTTTGTTGACAACTACATCGGACACTGTCTAATGTAGACAGCTCATTTCGCTTGGCTTAATGGTCAATTTAGAGCTTATATTTTTGATCGCATTGAATTGATAGGCGAGCTTACGTTTCACCTCATGTTGGGTGGTTTACAGAGATATAGCGAAACCCACTGCTTCAAGATCGAAATGGGTAGGACAATGGCCCTGACACGCGTGAACTTACAAAACTCCCAATTACGAGTAAAAATCTAATGTCGAACCCACTTGAACATTCGAAATCTATATTAATTCGAATTTAAATAATAAAAATTATATAAGCTTCCGAAAGAAGTTTGATGGCCATATTGAAGAAAAAAAAAAATACGAAATGCATGGCACGAAATGAAAACATCTTGCATGGTAGTATTCCTTGAGTCTTTTAAGACAACTCGAAATCGAAATTTTTACAGTACTATCAAATGTTAAAAAAGCAAGTAGCAGGTATTATATTGTTTAAATATTTCTAATTTACTTAACATTTTATTACTACCCTCGTTTTAATTTAAAATTGCTCTCATCTATCATGTTTAATTACGACTCGAGGATGCCGTAAGTCGGTACGGCCCATTAACCTCTATTTATATCATTCTGAAATTACAATTTCAGTTTAAATTTTCATTATTATCTATATATTATAATACGTGAAGCAAAAACTTTGTATCCCTTTTTACGAAAATTGCGCGGACGGAGGAGTATGAAATTTTCCACACTTATAGAGATTATAGAGAAAAAGTGCACAATGCTAAAAAAAAATTAAAATAATGCATAAACGATACATTAAATCAATAAAGAAAACATTACACACACTACATACCATGTATTTGACGCACACACGCATGCATTGTCAAACTTTTGTTCTTGACGTCTGTGGTCAAATTGAGAATAGATTAAATATTGTTTGTAGCCTTGGCGAAATTTGTGATTATAGAAGTATAAAATACAATCATTATAATGTACAAATCTATTATACAATTCCAATTAATTATAGTCAAATTTCGACTACTGCGGGACCTCTAGTTACTATTATTGCAATGTCACATATATGAAATTTGGAACATGTTACGTTGTCAGCAATATTGAGACATTAAAATTGTAGCGATCTATAAATAAACTATAGCTTACAGTGTGTAAGAAAACAATTCTCTAAAACAAAGACTGTTGGGAAAGGAAATATTTTAGTATTGTGTTCTTTTTTTTTTTCATTGTATCCAATGAACACAAAAAGTAAACTAGTCCATTGTGGCGCGCGACTCTTGGGTGAAGTAATAAAAGAAAGCTATAAAGANATTGTGTTCTTTTTTTTTTTCATTGTATCCAATGAACACAAAAAGTAAACTAGTCCATTGTGGCGCGCGACTCTTGGGTGAAGTAATAAAAGAAAGCTATAAAGAATAAGGATCAAATCATAAAAATATTTAAAAAAAAATAGTGGCCATTCTTAATGTTAAGACAATATTTGTTTTTTATTACTTACATGGGTAGACGCGCTCACAGCCCACCTGGTGTTAAGTGGTTACTGGAGCCCATAGACATCTACAACGTAAATTCCGCCATCTACCTTGAGATATAAGTTCTAAGGTCTCAGTATAGTTACAACGGCTGCCCCACCCTTCAAACCGAAACGCATTATTGCTTCACGGCAGAAATAGGCAGGGTGTTGGTTGGTACCTTGCGGACTCACAAGAGGCTCTACCACCAGTAGAATAGGCTAAATTTCAATAGTTCTTGAACAAACTTATCTGGTAACGTTCGCAAATTATTCACAAATACAAAACAAGAGCAAAACCTTAATAAATTAAAACGAAAATATTCTTGTTTATTCTTATACCGTACAGTTTATTCAATTATTCGAAATGCTATCTGAAAAACCGGATCATTCAATTTGTATTGAAATGAACATTAACCGAATTGGAACAATGTCACTGAATCAACAAAATGTGGGTTGCCGCTCGCCGATAAGCTGTACAATGTATGTTTAATGATCACAAATCAACATTATTCTTCGTTAATTTGGCGAATTTTTCAACAAGAATTTTGTTTATTCCTACAATTTAAATATTGATATTAAATAGTCGTGTTTGTGTTCATTATTAGATAGAGATTATTTATTACATTTTCTCTGCGACTTATCTCGAAATTTTCTTACAAATTAGAACTAATCTAATACTCATAGTAGATATGACTGTGATATGACTGTGATGATAATTCAATAAAAGAAAATTTTCACAGGGATATCTGTCAAATGCATAGTTTAGCATTCGACAGATATCCCTGTGAAAATTTTATATCTGTCTTTATATTTTTTTCTACCTTTTTTTTTTATTGCCAGATTTGTAGACGAGCTCACAGCCCACCTGGTGTTAAGTGGTTACTGGAACCCATAGACATCTACAACGTAAATGCGCCACACACCTTGAGATATAAGTTCTAAGGTCTCAGTATAGTTACAACGGCTGCCCCACCCTTCAAGCCGAAACGCATTACTGCTTCTCGGCAGAAATAGGCGGGGCGGTGGTACCTACCCGTGCGGACACAAGAGGTCCTACCACCAGTAAAAATCTTTATCGATCCCTGTGAAAATTATCCCTGTGAAATTTTTTTTTATTGAATTATCATCACAGTCATATCAGTCATATCACAGTTTCACACAGCTAGTTCTCGAAATCGAAACGCATGATTATTTTATAGAAATAGAGAAACGGGCAATACAAAAATCGCAATAAAATTAGACTCTTATATTTAAAGTAAAGAGACCTAAATTGCAATACATTTCTTCTACCCCTTTAGTTACATTTGGTAACTCAAATCCATTTTGTATTCCAGACGACAGATTTCCAGGATAACCTAATAAATGGTTATCGGGCGCTGATTGCGGACATCCAGGTCCGAACTCAGAAATCGCGGGAGGACATGGACACCCTAGTATCACAAATAAAACTTTTAATGAAGAACGAAGCTGATAAAGCTATTAACTACATGACAGTTTATTTGGAGCAGATATCTTTATATTTTCAGGTAAGACCCTTCTTTTACTAAGGTGCGTACAAAAATTATGAAACAGAAAAAACTCTTGAGGAGATTATTTATTTAGTTCGCCAATTCTAGATTATTTTTATCATTTGTTGGTAAGGTTTTCGGATAAAGTGAATAGAGTTCTTCGAGCATATATACTGAAATTTCGGAGTACATAAAAACATAGTAACCTTCAATGGTTACGAAAAATAGTAGAAAAGGTAAATTGTTCATAACTAATGCTCTACAATGAAATTTTTGTTTTACAGTATTGTTATACTATTTTTTTAATGTACCATATTATACCGCTTTTACGCGCTGTATAGGGCTCCCATTGATGGGGCGACGATCAGTGGCCTGATTGACGAAGCTTACACGAATATGCTGAATGCAATCAGCAAAGTATCGGTTATTGTAGCGAACCTTGGATGGAACCTATATCCAGCAGTGGATGTCTATAGGCCTATGATGATGAAAGCACATTACAAAAATGAACATTTGTTAATGACGCATATTCACATGTTTGTCAATTTGTTCGTATTCTATAAGTCCGCATGTTGTTGACCCAGTTGGGTTGAAAAGGTGTATTTCTTTATTCTTTCCTATTTATTAATCCTAATAAATGCATCAATACACCAAATGTAGCAAATCATTCTAAAAACTTTAAATCATATTGAGAGATAGCTGAATTAAATAATCACAAATTCAATCTATATAACCATGCAAAGTTATATTAGACTAGCCGTACTCGCCCGCTTCGCTGGGGATTTAAAATTAACATTATTATTTATTGTCATTATTATTAGGGAGACCAACACTTATATAAGTATTAGCCTATACATTAAGTATTTTCTACATGGATACCAAGTTTCAAGTCAATCGGATGCACGGTTCAGTAGTTATAACGGAACATCCGTAAAAACCACTGTAGATTTATATATTAGTATATAGACTTAAAATTAACATTATTATTTATTGTCATTATTATTAGGGAGCAATGCTCATATAAATATTAGCCTATCCATCAAGTATTTTCTACATGGATACCAAGTTTCAAGTCAATCGGATGCACGGTTCAGTAGTTATAACGGAACATCCGTAAAAACCACTGTAGATTTATATATTAGTATATAGACTTAAAATTAACATTATTATTTATTGTCATTATTATTAGGGAGTCCAACGCTCATATAAATATTAGCCTATCCATTAAGTACATGTATTTTCTATATGGATATCAAGTTACAGGTCAATTGGATGCATGGTTCAGTAAAAACCACTGTAGATTTATGAAAGCTTTGAATATTTTAGGTGATAATTCACGATCGAAAGCCTCGGAACGGCACGTACTGCAAGGAGAGTATCGTTAAACTCCTCGGAGAGAACCTGCAATTGGCCGACGAGAACGTGACGTTATGCTTGGCGCTCGGCTACCAGAGAGTACAGAGATTACCAGGTACTAAATTTATTTATTGGCATTTTCTATCAAATAATATATTTTAAGACTTCAGTTTTAGCACACGAAAATATAATAGACTAATCGGCTATGGAGGAGAGGTTTTTCTATACTTCTTTAATCTTTAATCTTTAATAATAATAATCTATACTAATATTATCTATATCTATACTAATATTATAAAGAGGAAAGATTTGTTTGTTTGTTTGTATTGAATAGGCTCCGAAACTACTGAACCGATTTAAAAAAATCTTTCACTGTTGGAAAGCTACGCTATCCCCGGGTGACATAGGCTATATTTATTATATTTTCAAAAAAATTAGGGATCCTTGCTGAAATTCCAATAATGTAACCCAATGTATAAAAAAATTACCTAAAATTATTTACATTGCGTGCGCTACTTCCCAAGCGAAGCCGGGGCGGGCCGCTAGTAATAATGTTATAAAGAGGAAAGATTTTTTTGTTTGTTTGTATTGAATAGGCTCGGAAACTACTGAACCGATTCGAAAAATTCTTTCACCATTTGGAAGCTACATTATTCCCAAGTGACATAGGCTATAATCTATTTTGAAAAAAATTAGGGACCCTTACTAAAACTCCAATAATGTAGAAAAAAAGGTGTAAAAAATTTACCTAAAATATTATTTACATCGCGGGCCCTACGAAAACTATTGATGATAGAATAAAGTAAGTTACTACGACTTGGTAGAACACACTATTATTTACAAAAAGTATCGTGACAGCATATGTCTAACTATTATAGTTATGCCGCAATAAGTGATTTTATTTAAAAAAATAAAACAACGTCGTTGAAATTTTTGTTAAAGACCCGAGCGGAGCCGGAGCGGGCCGCTGGTTTAGTTTGATATATGTAATTACACTATGTATTTCGTTGATAGCCGTTGATCTTTATGAAGCCAATGTCTTTATCAACTATAAGAGATTACGTAGAGGTCAATATAGTGGTGCGATAGCCTTACGCTGGACTGGAACACACTAAAGTTTCGCGCCAGAAATAGGCAGCAACATGGTGGTGTCAGGGCGGGCTTATAGCACGTCATTCTACTAATAAGTAGACTCTTGGGTAGGGATAGACAGAATGGTAGAAATGGACCTGATAAAATGATACTGAGAATACTTATAAGTTAAAATAAAATATATAGTCATTTCTCCCACCTATATCTCCTGTTAAACAGCTGGACTGACCATTGTCATTGACCTCTTATTTTCTTGACTATCTCTTCCCATTTCTCCTCTACTTCCAGTCTTCAGTAATAATGGAACGTGTTTTCAGTGTTTATTGTATTTGTAATAATTGTAAATACTGGTAAGGCATATTGTGCCCGAAAGTGTGTCGCGTAGCAGTAATGCGCTTCGGTTCGAAGTGTGTGATAGCCGTTGTAGTAAAAAACTAAGACTTAAAACTTATGTCTCAAGGTAGGTGGTGGTATTTACGTTGTTGTGTCTCCATAGACATCGGTTATCGGAGCATGGACACTTAACACCAGGTGGGCCGTGAGCTCGTCTATCCATCTTAGGAATAAATAAAAATTGTTAAAATAAAAAAAATGTTTATTTCTTCGACGAATCACCTTGCTTTTCAGTAAGAAAGGTGGAGCAATTGTTATTAATTACAATTCAGATTTAAAAAATAAATGAGCCATAATTTCTTCTAACTTACTGGTGGTAGCACCTCTTGTGAGTCCGCACGGGTAGGTACCACCACCCTGCCTATTTCTGCCGTGAAGCATAATGCGTTTCAGCTTGAAGGGCGGGGCAACCGTTGTGCTGTTAAAAGCTGAGACATTAGAACTCATGCCTCAAGGTGGGTGGCGGCATTTACGTTGTAGATGTCCATGGGCTCCGGTAACCACTTAACACCAAGTGGGCCGTGAGCTCGTCCACCCCTAAGTCTAAGCAATAAAAAAATTGCAATAAATAGAAATCTTCGTTCTAATGCATAGGAGTGTTTGCTAACAATCTCATGACTGAGCGGATTCATTCACGTAGTCGCTCATAACAAAAGGTGCGAGTTCATGTTTACGCGAACTAAATAAAAGTACATAAACTATTTACGATACGGCCTCATTTATAAGGAAGTTGTGAAACTACGTGTCACACATTTGATTTTGCTACAGGTTTCCTTGTTTGCACATTACATTTCCGCTGTCACTATATACAGGAAGTTCCAATATTGATACGGTAGCGTTTTGTATTGTAATATGGTGTGTTGACAATGTTTTCTTTTTTTGCCTTTTTTGCATTTGGTGACTGTAGTCTTATTTTATAGTGGATGGTTTATATCATAAGTGGGTGAACGAGCTCACGTACAACTCGGTGTGATACCGAAATCCATAGATATAGTGAATCTCACTTCCATTATGAGACCTGAGTTATGAATATATGTGAAGTAACAATTTCCACACTTTACGCAATAAATAAATAAAAAATAAATATTTACTAACAATCACGCTACGTTAACGGGTCCCGTGCTAAGTTCGTAAAGAACTTGTATTGCAGTACCAGATAACGGAAATAAATGTAAGATTTTTATTATACACATACATATATTTAATAGACATCCATAACCCTGGAAAAGACATTTTTATATTTATCATACAAATATCTTCCCTTGGCGGGATTCGAACCCGCGACCTCCTTGTATAGTGACCATGTCACTTACCACTACACCAGACGGCCGTTAGACGGTAATGCTTAGTTACTATTACTTTATACTCATATAAACCAATTAATATTTAGGTTTTTTAAGCCAAATGAAATTCAGAATATTAGATTGCTAGGGCTTTAAATATGATACATAAAGTTTGAATGTCTTAGAATGAGTAAATAGTAATTTATTTAAAATCATGATCGACAGTGTAATAATATCTGTCGGATAATAACAGTAAGAATATCTGAGAATACAACACCCACAGTAATCCTCTAATCCATTCATAGATAATAATCTCCCAGACAAAGAGAAAACCAACCTGTTCATCATACAATATTTGCCCTATGTGGGAATCGAACCCACGACCCTGGGTGCAACAGTCAGATCCGCTAACTACTACACCACCGAGTCAGACAGACCGAGTCAATAGTATTAGTATAATCTTAATTCCCTACCTCGTTTTCTGTCTGGTGGTAGGTTGTACGGTGAGCCCGCATGGATTGATTGCACAGGTTGCGATAACCATTACAACACAATCAACTTCAATCTAATGTCTCAATGTCAGTAGCAGTAGTTCATCACGTTGCGATACTAATGAACTCCAGCAACCACTACAGGGCTCATACAGTGTGTAGCTAGCCTTTTTATGATAACTAATTTAAAAAAACATTTACATTAAACTATAGACGCAGTTTCATAGTGAACAGTCGGTTCGTTCGTTTTCTTCCTACCTATTCTAGTAAGCTTGAGGGGTTATTCTAGATTCAACGTACTAGTAGCTGAGTTCACGGGGCTCAAACCGAGAGTGTTGCTAATACTGGCCCTAGCAAGAGCAGTGCTTCGCAGAATCTACCACCGGATAGGAAACGGGACTCACTGAGAAAATCCGGCGGAAAACTCAGTAGGCTGTGTCTAAGGGTTAATTTACTCGTCGAGCCCTTCGTCGCAAGCGACAGGTTCGGCGAGAACGGTACCCGGTGGACCGGTACTTGAGGTACCTAAAAGCACCGTTAATGGATCGGGAGGATCCGTAATGACGTGTTTAGGACGACGTCGACTGTTTACCATTCGATCCACAGGATCGGGTATGGTGGTTCGTTCGTTTGTCGTCTAGGGTATTAAGTTTTGACTCTTCCTTTTTTTCCCTTTTTTCTGTAGTCTTGTCTAGAAAAGCCTCACAATCTCAGGTCTCCGTTTTAGTCTATATCTAGTCATTGTAGGTCGTATGTCCTGTCAAAGAGGTCGCATACCACGACACATAGCTTTGGTTTGGGTATGCATAGGTATATGATTAACTTGTTATGTTTAACAGAAAAACTACAAGTACACTTTGAGACGTTAGAAAATCTAAAGAAGTATTCGGCTTCGAAACTATTCGAGTGCCAGAAACAACAGCAAGTCGGTGGGAACTGCTCTCACGAGAGCCAAGATCTGGAGAGAACTGTGGTAAGTAAAACTCATATATGATAATTGATTGGTATTACATTCAGTTATTTAAACTTATTGAAACCAATACCCTTGTATAGTTCAAAATGCAAAGATAGTATTTGTGATGAAACAATGACGTCAGTATTCACTATAGGGAGCTCTGTTTACAGATTCCAATTAAAAACTCTGCGATCAATTTGCAAATGATAAAAAAATCCTTAAAATTCACGAACTCTTTAAATGTAAGAAAACCAATAATAGAATTAAAAAGTCACTTTCTATCATTAATATTTACAACCAGTCGTCCATGACCATGTAAAATGTAAAGTATTTAGAAACGTCGGAAAATGTAAAATTTATTTGTGTGTAGTGATTGATGCCTCTAAAAAGCTTGAAATTGTATCAACGAACAGCGAAATCTTTAGAAAATGTTGTTCATAATTTTGGAGACAAGTAATATTAACGAGATAATTCGTTCTGGAGGATCTAGTCTACATAATAAAACTTTTTTCATTAAGCACGATTTACTTCATAATAGATTTAGGAAAAAGTATAAAACTTTCCCTTTGACTATTAAACCAACTAACGACGAGACCTTTTGAGAAACTAAAAGTATTATGTTTGTGTGATTGACCATCATCTTCTTTTAATAAAATTTGCGTCTTGTAGTGTTGAAGCGTAATAAATATAGTTTATTAGATTTTCCCGACGTTTTTTTCGCGTTAATGTAGACAAAAGAATTATATATCTCGTAAACAGTACTTTTTTTTCTGGATGACATATGTCTATGTCCTTTTCTGTGTCCTTGACAAAGTGTATAAAAAACTTCATAATGATAGATTCAGTAGTTATGATATGAAGGCATATCAAACAATCATTCCTAATCTAATCATTTCCCACTGTAACTGTTACTAAACATGAAACACACCTATTTGGAGTCGAAGTCGAGGCGTTGATGTATGGGAAGCAACTTCCTTGAAGTATCACTAAATACGAATAACTAATTAATCATTATTACATAATCTTTGCTTATGAAACAAATTAACGTTCAGCTCCGCAGAGATTTCTCATGTTGTGCTGGTTCAATCGTGGCTTGAAAACCATGCCATGGTAGAACGGCACGTAATCAAATTGCAACTCATTTGATAAATTTAACCATGACATTTCAAATAAAAAAAATACTACAAATTTCCAGAGAGCATTATCATTTCAATCTATACTAATATTATAAAGAGGAAAGATTTGTTTGTTTATTTGTGTTGAATAGGCTCCGAAACTACTGAACCGATTTGAAAAATTCTTTGACTGCTTGGAACTTAACACTATTCCCAAGTGACATAGGTTATAATCTTTTTTGAAAAAAAATAGGAATCCTTACTAAAACACCAATAATGTAACCCAAGGTGTAAAAAAATTACCTAAAATTTTCTTAAATCGCGTGCCCTGCGAAAACTATTGATGATAGAATAAAATAATGTACTACGACTTTGTAGAACACATTATTATTTACAAAAAGTGTCGCGACAGCATATGTCTAACTATTGTAGTAATGCCGCAAAAAGTGTTCTTTTATATTAAAAAATAAAACAACGTCGTCGAAATCGTTGTCGAATAAATATCGTTGAAATTTTTATTAAAGACCCGAGCGAAGCCGTTGCGAACCGCTAGTTAATAATAAAAACAAATTTTATGTTTTGTTTTACAGTTCCTGTATGAAACATCACCGTTTCCGGTGGTGATGTCCGAAATAGCTATACACGGCTTCAAAGAAGTCTCAGATCTAAGTGTTTGCCTCAAAGACATCATATCACGAATGATGACGCATTCCGTCAAAGTCATAGGAGACTTCAACCGATGCATACATAACATTGAGATGCCGAAACTGAAATACTTGCTTAAGTTCATGAAAAAGTACGCCTGAAGATGACTGACCGTCTGCGGAATGGATTAAGAAATTGTAATGTTTTGTAAATAACTTTTTTTTTAATAGTTGCTAATAGTGTTTTAAGTTGAAGCTTTCCATTATGTAAAACCAGATAGATGTAAGTTAACATAAAAAATATATACTATTTAAGTTATAAATTTATTATATGCTGCGAATAGTGGTAGTAACACAGAAAATCTTTAAAAATTGTATTATATAAAACGCCTTCCTTTTTACACTGCACTCGACTAATTATAATTATGTCTTAATAAAAGCTAACCCAATAAACGTTAATTTGTAAATTTTCCTTTGTTTTTCCCTTAGAACTTAATGCATTACGAACATAAAAATGGCCAAGTCGCTCTTAGCATTTTCGAGTGCTCAACAAATAATAATTAATTTTTGCTATACAGGTATGTAGATAACACATAAACATTATTTATACATTATTATTATTATAAATTTGAACGTTTGTTTCATGATTGTGTGTGTGTGTGTGTATAAATGTGTGTTTTAAAAGAGTTTTTATCGACGAAAAGCTAATTTTTGTTACGATAAAATACACGATTTGTTATGACAGGAGGCACCTAGTCTTATTAATACAAAATAAATTAATAACTTCAATACACCTAATGTGTCACATTCTGGACAATATGTTATCTGGGATAATCCAGAGAGACGTTCGTTTGATAGGGAATATTTCGGTTGGGGGTATTTTCTGTAAGCTTTTCCTCATATATCTATATACATTTTGATTGGATGATTGAATTCTGAAGGCGTATGTCGCACAAAGAAATTCATTTTATTGTTTCGAAAAAAAAATGTTTCTCATGAAGTATTTAATTTTGTCTATATTACTTCATTCTAATTTTGTGAACAATTTTATTCTTGAGATTATTTGTAAAATTCTCTTGTAGCTTACTCTTCATCCTCAAACGCTGCTCGCATTAATGATCTGACAGATTTCAAAGATAAGACTTTATAGATATTTTTGTCTACTTTACGATTGTCCGGAATGCTGACTCTTGCTTTACTAGATCATACACAAAAGACTAGTAGATACTACTATAGAGACTAGATACTACAAATACTAGGATATTCATAAAATACGAATTCATATATACCGCAAATTATAAAAATATTAATGTAGATAATTAACGTTAAATACGGATATGAGCCATGATTTTTTCTCCTTTATCCATAACAGTGGTAGCCAGTAGGAGATAGACGCTTCTTATATTGCCACATAATACTTTCCCTAATCGCTATTTTCGGGTATGTCATGGACTCTCTCATGCTGGATACACCACCCTACTTATTTGATCCGTAGAGCAAACCATGCGTAATTTTTTAAGGGTAGAATAGCCGCTACTCCAAGGTATATTTAGAAATTCACGTTATAGGCTCCAATAACCATTTAAGATCAATTATACCAGCGGTCGGGGAACCGAGGTAAATTACCCCAAATGGGGTAAAATGAAATTTGGGGGGGTAAAAATGAAACTTTTCTGAGGAAAAAGTATATTATATTGAACTGAAACTTCTTTAGAATCGTTGCGATTTCAAATTATCATGGGGGCTATAATATGAGAGATGCTAAAAGAAGCGATTTGGTTTTTTTTTTTTGTTCTTCGCCATGGGGTAATATCAACTTACACAAAAATATTGTGGGGTAATAATTAAAAAAGTTCCCCGACCGCTGAATTATACAGCAAGCTTGTTTGCGAATCTAGAGAAACCAAAAAAATACGTCAAAGTTTTTGTTCCAAAGTATTAGATTGATTTCAAAGAAATTTTGATCTTACTATGACATTACTATATAGATATTTAATATTGTAATTATAATTCTAAACTCAAATCAAACAAACTATTTCTTCAATCACGAATTAAGTTGTATGAGAATCTCAAAATTGGAGTAAGAACAAAATATAAATTAGTATAATATTAAAGACACCAGAACTTAAACACCGCAATCGTCCGTGAGACAAAAGCACGTATATGACTGCTTCACGGCTGAAATAGGCAGGCTATTGGCCTACAAAGCAGACTTACAATTCACCCTAAAACCGGTAAACAGCCACATATTTAAAAAAAATTAAGCTTCTTTAAATTGTATCGCCTATAGAAATGAGTTAACCTTTATCATTACCGTATTTGATATAACCATATTAGATTTTTGAAAAAAATAACGCTAAAGAATTTAGTTTGTTGTTTCTATTTAAATCGTGTTATTTTAATCATGTGTTTTATTCGTTAGTTATTTAAGACAAGTGTGTATACAATCATCTTAATGCTCCTAAAACGCAGCAGCAGTACCTAAGCAATTTGCAAAGAACATTAATTGTTGACATGATAACGATCCAATTCAGATAATTGATACTCATATTTTTATTTTTTAAATCACTCACCAATGATATGAGTACATCTGCGGATGAGGGCTGATATTTCAAGAGCCTGCTGAATCTGAGAGTCCTTTGAGCCATCGTTAGAGGTCCAACAGGCCGCGACACATGGATAAGCGGAGAGGATGGCGGACGAGACGGCGGGGTCGTCATGGCTGGAATGTTCCTACGTACCGTCTCTAAAGGCACAGTTCTAGCCACCAAAGTGTCACTACCGACAGAATTTGCACTACCACTGAACATGTTCATCAAATCGCCAATAGAACCGCCTCCACTTGAACCAGTACTACACCTCAACTTGTCCAAGTCCGTCAAACTGGACCCTCGTCGGACTCGCAACCGCGAACCGGTCACATTGGTCCGGCTCTGATACGGTTGGTCCCGCCTCACGTCGGCTTCGCTGGCCGCTTGACCCTTTCTACTTCGAAACATTGTTAATCCGACATTCCACATCAAAGCTTAAGAGACAACTGCACGCCACTTACACCTGTTGAATTTGCATACAAACGGAGCGATAATGCGGTTCGATATCAATAGTGCCAGGGCCGCCCGCAGGATGCCGTGGTGTCCTCGCGCGTTTCCGTCGCCATCGCTTGCGCAATATTTCAACTCCCTGATCACATTCAATTTTTTTTTTCTATCCTAAGGGGTGCGCACTCAACAGAGGCCGTTTACAGACTGAGTAGGGTGAACGTAGATCGTAGAGTGCGTGTGGTCGGAGTAGCGGAGTAGAACTAATGATGTGATCGAGTTCAACGCATCAGGCCTCCACAGGCGGCGAGCACTTTAACTTAGACGAATAAAAATCTGTACTTAATACAAGAATATTGTGATAAACGAAAAAAAAAAAAGTTCTATTCTGAATTCGATCCGTCGACCTACTTGTTTAAACATTACTTAAGCACTTGATTACGAATTTTTTTTTTCTCTCTCTACGGACTCTAGATGATATTTAACTTTGAACAAAGTTTATTGAGTTTTGTGAAAGTAACTCAATAGAAAATCCAAGAGTGAAAATAAAATTTAATTAATTGCAAGAGAACTTGTGACGTAATTAGCTGTCACGAGAGTGTTTTGCACAGCTTCTTTTTTTTCTGCCCTAGATGAGCTGATTTGTATTAAGTGATTACGCCGATACTTTGCAGCAACTACATTCTACCATCAGTGATCAGTTAGTGCTGAAGTAGGGCTTGATTTTATTACACGGTGTTATTTCCTCGTCGTGAAAGGCGTTTATGATCACCTATGACTCATCACCTTTTTTATGACTTTCGCACTACTCGCAAAGCAAACAAGTGCACATATCTCATATATAATTTAATTGAGACCTCAACCACATATCTCAAGGTGGGTGCGGTATTGTGATATTTATGTAGTCACTTCATATCAGAACGCTCTTATGCTTATCCGCCCACGTAGCAATAAAAGAATATTTGAGTTACACTGGTAATTTTTCAGAACAAGTTTCACCTGCCATTTTCTATTGTAGTATAATAATTATTACTTGACACAGAAACTATCCTAAAAACAACAAACTTCGAACTTAATTTTCCCTTTTAATCCACACTAATATAGTAAATGCAAAAATGAATTAGATACTTTTTGACTTACGCTTTCACGTCGTAACTACACAACCGACCATTTCAAGTCGTCATTGTTACAAAAAGGTACTATGTAGTAATTTTCTGGCTCCAAGATCAATTTAAGCTGTTTATTCCGAAGGATTTTTCTACATGAACACCAACAAAGCTAGTTATAATATCAATAGGTACACAAGACATCATTAATGTACATTTTTGGAAGATTAACGTCCTCATAAAGCAAGTGTCAATCTAAAAGTCAATACTGAAGTGAAAGATTGCTTTGATGTTACGCAATACGTCATTCTGAAGAAACTAAGCGACAGATAAATCTGGATTAATCTCATTTCCCTGTACGCGAACATTTCGTGTTACGTACGAGTAAATCTTTCTTATTTCGGGCATTATTAGAAAATTTTGTCGGTAGAAAATGTAATATTTAATAATATAAGTTCAGTGATAAAGTCAAAACTAGAACGAGCCAGTGGTAAATAATATAAGAGTTTTTTTATTGCTTAGATGGGTAGACGACCTCACAGCTCACCTGGTTTTAAGTGGTTACTGGAGCCCATAGTCGTCTACAACGTAAATGCGCCACCCACCTTGAGATATGAGTTCTAAGATCTCAGTATAGTTTACAACGGCTGCCCCACCCTTCAAACCAAAACGCATTACTGCTTCACGGCAGAAACAGGTGATAGGACGTCTTGTGAGTCCGCACGGGTAGGTACCACCACCCTGCCTATTTCTGCCGTGAAGCAGTAATGCGTTTCGGTTTGGGTAGGACAGCCGTTGTGCTGTAAAAACCTTGGAGCTTATAATAATATCTCAAGGTAGGTAGCGGCATTTACGTTGTAGATGTCTACAGGCTCCGGTAACCATTTAACATCAGGTGGACCGTGAACTCGTCCACCCAACTAAGCAATAAAAAGAAAAAAAAAATTAAACGCGTATGCCAAACTAAAAATCAAGGTAACATTTTTTTTATCCTATTGACATAGTCACAGCATATTAAGTCAAAATAATAAAATCATTGAACTATCATCGGTTCTCGATATGTGCACAATTTTTCAGGTAAATCAAACAACTTGGTCATTTAAAAATTAATTACATAGTATAGATACAAGTTAAGCTTATAAAAGTGTAATAAAAATCATTTCACCTTTATAAAAATTATATAATTAATGTAGGCGGTTTATTAGCGATAGACATCTGTCTCTCTCTCTCTCTCTCTCTCTCTCTCTCTCTCTTTGTTGTTAAAGCTGCTTGTCTTAAAGACATAAAGCTAAATGAAGTAGCATTATACGACTGTAACCATTTAACCGGGAACTAATCGATTAACGAAAATGAAGGCATGTTGCGACAAATTTAGTGAGATCCACCAAATCATAAAAGCTGTGATGGCACGTGGTCTGCCTATATTGGGCATTAAGAAATATAATGCACAATGTTCGAAACACGTCGTTGAGTTGTAACCGGTTTCATTTATCAAAAGAGAATTTGGCTGTCCTACTTCGCTTTGAAATAATTTCTTATTCTAAAGACACTTGAAGAATTCAAATGTGTACAAGAGATAACACTAATGAGTTGTTCAAATTTTCAGTTACTTTAATTGCCGCGATAAGCATATGGGTATAGTCACTTATTATAAACTAGTCATAAATGTAATTTATATATTAATACGTGAAGCAAAAACTTTGTATCACTTTTTACGAAAATTGCGCGGACGGAGGAGTATGAAATTTTCCACACTTATAGAGAATATAGAGAAGAAGTGCACAATGCTAATATTTTTTTTAAATAATGCATAAAAGATACATTAAATCAATAACAAAAACATTACACACACTACATACCATGTATTTGACGCACACACGCATGCATACTATCTATTGTCAAACTTTTGTTCTTGGCGTCTGTTGTCAAATTGAGAATAGATTAAACATTGTTTGTCTTTGTTAATATTTTTTATAGTGTAGCCTTGGCGAAATTTGTGATTATAGAAGTATAAAATACAATCATAATAGTGTACAAACTTACAATTCCAATTAATTGTAGTCGAATTTCGACTACTGCGGGACCTCTAGTTATAAGGATACAGCCATACAGTACTGTAATCGATATTCATATGATGGTAAACTCTATTCTGTCTAAAGTAGAGGCTTCAAAACTTTTGCAATCAAAGTGCATAGTTAATAAGCGCAGTTTCGAACAACTTTTTAGTATCATGACTAAATCGAGTTAGCGTTCACATGACATGTTAAATTTGTATGAACAGTATAATTTTACACAATTTAGACTCTATTGGGTGTTAGAAAATGGTTGAAATAAAAATTAAATCCGCCGAATTTTTTTTTATTGCATTCGACCCACCTGATGGTGAGTGGTTACCGTCGCCCTTGGACTTCAGCAATACCAGGGGCAGGGCCAAGCCGCTGCTTACCTTCAAGTACTCTCCACAAGCCTTATTTGAAGAAGGATATGTCATAGCGCTCGGGAAGCACCGTGGAGAGGAGCTCATTCCAAAGTCGGATGGTACGTGGCAAAAAAGATCTCTGGAACGCAGTGGTGCCAGGCAGTATAGATGAACTCTACTCCGAATTGTAATTTTGTTAACTAATCTTCAATAAATATACCAAAAAACGAACTTTTTTTATTTTCTTTGAACTAAATGCGTAAATAGGCGTGTCCAAGGTCATCACAGTAGGTGTTGAGTATGGTACGTTGTTACAGAGGTCTCGCATTAACGCAGCGCCGCGCCAAGTGCCCCACAGGGCTGGACTTGGGACACCGTTTTTACTTTAAGAACGATGTTATATTATGTACTCGTAAAATATTTTATGGATAGTTAGTTCATTATGAAATTTACTTTCTTCTAATGAATCACTTAATTCAAATTTAATTTTAAACGAATTTCGGGCTCTTCGCGTAATTTGATCAATAAATTTACTTTCAAAAACATATATTATGTTATTAATAAATAGATATGAAACTCCATATTATATACTACGTCATTGCGAATGCCGATAACATTGAAACAAACAATGATGTTTGGGATTGGTGAATCATCTTTCAAAGTTTTATTAAATTGGTAATAACAACAACATGGAATTGGTTGACTTAGAATGACAAAACGGACTAAGTTTAATCATAAAGTTTAGTCAATCGTATTAATTTGTTTTCAAATACACCAAACTGATACACCCGATAAAACCGTACAATTTTCGCTGCTAAGCTATTTTCATTATCACTAATTCAAAAAAGTCTAGTCAATCGTATTATTTTGTTTTCAAATACACCAAACTGATACACCCGATAAAACCGTACAATTTTCGTTGCTAAGCTATTTTCATTATCACTAATTCATTCTAACGATGTCTTCGGAACTTGTTAAATCGAAGTAATATACTAAAGATATCAAACACCACGGGAGTTTTATATCCAGTAGTGATAGACGGTTTAATGTCCTAATAAAGCCATCGCTTATGTTGTAATAGTCTGTCTTGATGGGCATCATACAGAGATTAGGGAGGTCACGTTTTCCGAAAGGTATAGCTAATATCCTAATTTATAAGATATAGCTAATTTGCAATTTAACAACAATCTAATAAAAGACCACTTGTTCTAATCAGGTAAATTCATAGGCAAATTACCGATCAAGAGGAAACCGTTCTTAACTACGGAGATAACTTCTGGTGATTGTATAATAGATACGATACAGTTAAATACAGTTAAGCGAAATGTTACTATGTATATGTATGTATAGTAGATTCAAAAATTACGAAAAACGAATTTTCTGAAATAATAATTTTTATTTGTGCTTGAATTCATATTATGTTACTTGTGTAATAGCCGATAAATTACAGTATCACCTTGGAATAAATACCTCAGTGAAGAGTTCGTTCAGATTATTTTGTTCAGGTCTCTCGATTTAGAATCCGTAAATAAATCTATTAAGTTATCTTTTGGTTTGGTCGCTTGATTTTAAATTATAATTAGTTCTGTTTTAATTTGGTAAATTTTCAATTTGTCATAATCCCTTACGTCAAAAATAACAAAAAAATATGAGAGATATCAAGACTTTATGATGCATTCAAACTTCGACGAATGCTCATATTTCGTAAGCTAAACTTATATATAAATTGTATTCCGCTAAACGATCTTAAAATAATTATCCAATTTTCTTTGTTTTAGGACAACGTAATATTTTATCACTACATACCATAAAATACAAACATTTTCCAGTCCCGATGAAATTGCGCACTTTAACTTACCTGATCCAACGAATGCTTCAAATCAAATCCACAACAAAAATACACAATATTAAAAAACAAATTTCTAAAAATCCAATGAATTCAGAATCAATTTCATTAAATTATAAACAAAACAAAATGAAACAAAAAAATAGTATGATAATAAAATATAAGAGTTATTAATTAAACAAAATATCATATTACTATTTAAACCGCTACTCAGAATTGTGGAAATACCAAAAACAAATGATATTCTGAATTCATCGTCAAAATACTAAAATGACTCACGTTTAGCTGCATCACGATTTTGTTGTATGCTCGGTGCCACCTCTGTCTCGCTGTGAACTTCGGCTGCTCTGCTTTTTCGTCCCGTCGCTCCGGCTCTTGAAATACACCATCTTCCTCATTATACTGTCCGTCTCGTCTAAATTGATCTTGGTCATCGAACTTCTCATGCTCATCTTGAAACTCATCTTCGTGGTATGCGTCTTCGTCTTGATAATCATCACCTTGGTCATCGAACGATTCCTGTCTACCCCTGAACGAACTTGTGTCCTCGGCTACCTCATGGTACGTTGTGCGCTCATCTTGAAATGTTACTTTTGATTTTTCAGTAGGTTGTTCTGAAAGAATTGATACGTTTTAGTTATCATTTCTTTTCATAAGAAAAAAATTATTGATGTTACGATTGCTCAAACTACCAAATGAGGAATAAATATAAATAAATATGATTAATTGAATTGAGAATTTATTAATTTGAAAAATATATAATGAAACTTGACATTTATTTTAATTACATTCTAATCCAGATTAATAGTCTAGTAAGCAATCGAATTTGTTGGTTTTCGAAAATATTCAAGCTTAAGTTTCTTTTTATCAGATAGATAATTGCACCACGTCACAAAATATAATGAAAAATGTGAGTTTAAATAGTTAGTCATAAATTAATAGACAGAAATAAAGTCTCATTTTTGTTCAAATATTCGTTCAAAATTATTTTTTACATTTTTGTATAAATGCAATGCAATAAATAATTACCTTCTTGTTTACCCGGCACGGATAGTTTATCCTCGTGTTGAAATGAACTTTGCGATGTTCTACGGTCAATAACAGAAGGCGTTTGGCTGTGGTAACTGTCCACAGAAGGTTTACGCATTTGCGAGATCGCTCTTGTTGGAGATGCGACCTTGTGCAAAGGACTCCTAGGACTGCTTGGAATTTCCGACATATGCCTATCATCGACATCTTCTTCATGGATTGTATCATGCATGTATTCATCATCTCGATATCTATCCAAAGAAATCTTATCGCGATCTATCGATTGATCGTATTCAGTCTTATGATACTCGTCTTCGTAGGCACTTTCGTCAAAACTTGAGTGGAGTAAGTCATCTGGTGCGTCCGGTAACGTCCGCGTTCGACGCACTGGTGGTCTCTGTATAGACTCCTGTCTCCTAAGAGAAGGAGTGCGGGGTAAAGTTGGAGCCGTTGTCGTCGCCGTTGATGTTGGCGCTGACGGAGTTGTTTCTGGGACGGAGGCTGTCACTGGAAGTTTGGATGAAAATGGCGTTACAGGAACTACACCTGTAGAAAACTGATTTGTGGGAACAGTTGATGATTGATTCGTATGTAGAGATTGTGGTGCTGCCGGGGCAGAAACTGCGGCTGCTGCAGCGCCAAAGAAGCTTCCTAATTTCTTTGCGCCACCCGCCATTAAGGAGCCTAATGTAGCAGCGCCAGTCATTACCGTCGCTTGCAACTGTTGTGCCGACTGTTGCTGTTTTTGTTGAAGGTTTTGCTGCTGTAACTGTAATTGTTGCTGTTGTGCTTGCTGTTGCTGTAAATTACTTTTTTGTTGTTGTTCATAGTGTTGCTGCTGGTTTTTTTGTTCTTGTTGAATCTGTTGTGTTTCATCGTGCTGCGGCATTTGCTGGTTGTATTGTTGTTCTGAATGCTGTTGTTGTTGTGGCTTCTGGTCTTGTAAATAGTCCTGTTCTGGTAAAACCTGTTGTTTACTGTCATCTTGATATTGGTATTGAAAGTCCTGCTGGTCTTCATATATGCTTTGTTTATCATGATATTGAGCTTCTTGGCTCGATTGAAATTGTTGATCATCATACTGATAGTTAAATTGCGAATAATTTTGGTCCTGATAAATTTCTTGTTGGCTAGTTATAGGCGGTTGAGTCAAATAAGATATTGTCGATGGCACAGTCTTTGATAACAATAAGTCTTGTTCACTAGTCACTGGATAACTAAACTGCGTCGCATTGTCCGAATCAGTCCACGGGGTTTTTTGAGCTGAAATTTTGAAAAAAGCACTGTTGAAATGAAACTTTACTGTGTCGCAGATACTGTTTATCAAACGGCAAGCCATGACTGAATGTCAACAAACAATAAATTTGAATGTCAAATACAGTTTTATTATTTACTCATTCGTACACAGGAAGCCATTATCGTGTGTCCCACAGCGAATATATTTAGTCCTAGTGATAGTACATATAAATGTTCTGTTTGATTACATGTAGTTCACAAAGAAACCACTGCCAATACTTTTAATGGCCACATGATCTTACATGATAACAATCTATCCAGTTATTTATAAGATATTTTCACAAATTTTCTGTAATGTAATAATGTCGCCTATATATATATTTTGCAAAACAGTCACGTGATTTGAAGGCGATGGAAGAGTTTATTCCAAAACAATTGATACTTCCGCCTTAAGTACCGAAAAAAGATTGTTACACGAATACTTTAATAGCCTCTTAATAAGTACCAAGTCCCCTTAACCTGTCTGCCCCTGGACTCTTATACAAGACTAAACATTGAAGAAATTTAAGTTTTCACTTGCAACTGTATTCTCGGATATAATTGCTTTAATAAAATACTGTAGGCATTCATCTCAACGAGGTATGCCTTTCGGATATTATGCAGTAAAAAGTGGACGTAAAACATTGACTTCTAATCGCTTTAAGTATCTAACTCACCAGCTGCAGGCGGAGTAGCATGAGGAGTTTCATTAAAGAATGGTTGCATTTCATCTTCGTCGTAACTGCGAACAAATTTAATTATAAGCATTTTTAATTACAAATCTTCACATGGGATCGCCTATGACAAGATGGATATTATAAACTGAAGTTATATTAATAAATATCTATTTTAACACCTATACCTATTTATAATTATATTTGAATGACAAATCAACGTTCTATTTTTGCATTAATATTTAGAGATTTAGATTGAACTGGCTATTACAGGTGAAACCGAATTGCATATTTTTTTCTACCTATCCTATTGATCCCGAGTGTTCATACTAGACTCACTGAATGAGTAGGTGAGCTCACAGGGCTCCAACCTGATGAATTTGCTAATACTGAGCAGTACTTCGTAGAATATACCACCGGATCAGAAACGCGACCCACTGAGACGATTTGGCGAGAAACTCAGTGTGCTGGAAATATAATACTGAAAAGAAACGTAAAGGTGATCCCGCCTTTAAGACAGTAATGCAGGATTGATACCATCTGGATCGATTTTTAAATTTGTATTTTTGCTCAAAATTTCAAACTGTTTTTATGAATTTTTCATTTTCCTATAAGAACATAACGTTGATAAAGACGACGTTAGATACAAACAGATATGTAATGTCAGAGTAAAATTTCTCGCCAAAGTTATATTACACAAACGTTTACGGATGCTGACATCTGTCAATGCGGGCGTGACACTGAGATTTGCTAGACGTAATCACCTTATAATTAAGTAACTTTTTCTATGTCTGATACATATACATATCTCTGTTTGATACCCAAGTATCAATGTACATGGTACAATGTGTATGGCAAGTACCCCATAAGTACCAAATGAACAAATAGAACGCGAACTACCTTGCTGTACATACCTTGTGTAATTATTATCAGTATACAAGTCAGTAGCAGTGTCTTGATATTGCGGCTGGTAATTGTAGCTGTCGTAACCGTAGCTCGCGTCGGGAATAACTTTTTCAGGTTCTAAAAAGGAAACTGTAATGAATTTTTGATAACCATGATATTTTTTATCAATTTTATTGATTCGTTGTGTTTGAATTGGTGCAATGCAATGTTTTTGTCCCTCTATCAGTTTTTGTTTGAAATTATTAAATATAGGACAGTCAGTTGTACTTTTTAGTTCGAATTTAGAATATAAACTAGTCTTATTATTTCCATCAATAAAAATCGCTTCAATTCATTTCACTTAAAGAAAACTGCCGTAGCATACCGGCCAGGGCCCTAAAACTGCGATACTTTAAGACAAAAAAATTGTTTGTATGAAAACTATCGACATTTTGTAGCGGATGCCCCGAAACTTATATATTGTTAAATTTAAGGCATTTCATTATTGTGTAACTAAACCCAGAAAATAAAAATAAAAATAAAAATAAAAAACAACTCTTTATTTGTTACTAGAGGTCCCGCAGTAGTCGAAATTCGACTATAATTAATTGGAATTTTAAGTTTGTACACTATTATGATTGTATTTTATACTTCTATAATCACAAATTTCGCCAAGACTACACTATAAAAAATATTAATAAAGACAAATAATATTTAATCTGTTCCCAATTTCACCACAGACGTCAAGAACCAAAGTTTAACAATAAATAGTATGCATGCGTGTGTGCGTCAAATACATGGTATGTAGTGTGTGTAATGTTTTCTTTATTGATTTAATGTTTCTTTTATGCATTATTTTTAAAAAATATTAGCATTGTGCACTTCTTCTCTATATTCTCTATAAGTGTGGAAAATTTCATACTCCTCCGTTCGCAAAATTTTCGTAAAAAGGGATACAAAGTTTTTGCTTCACGTATTAATATATAGATAGACAAATTGATTAAATTTTATCAATTAGTGGTTTTTGAAATTTTACAAAATCCTTCATTACACATAAAATGTATGATAGGTAATTTTTTACTGCCATCTACAGGAGCAATGAGAAACTAATCGAAGCGAAGCCATGTAGTGGCTGATGCCCGTAAAAAAATTTGTTGAGTGCTTGAGTTACTTTTTTTAAGAGATTTTATGACCTGGTAACTACGGCCTTTTTAGGTCATGTCTTATTTTAATTTATATTCTTATTTTTATGAAAAATTATAATATGGAGTGAAATGAAATAAAATGAAGATGATTAATTTGAGACATTAATTAGTTGGGATGAAATTAAATCAAATGAGATGAGATGATATGGGATGAAATATAATCTCAGTAAAATGGGGGCCATTTACTGAGATTTTTTCAGTGGACTTTTTGACGGATCCCGAGAAGTTACGTCCAGCGGCATTGTTTTATTTTCCCCCATTTGTGCACTTTCACAGATATTAAACAATTAATAAACCACCGTTATTAAACATTTAAACCTGAAGAAACACTAAATAGACAAAATAAGACAAATCACACAGATTCACTCCTCGCGTTCCCGCCAAAAGGACCGCTTGAGTTATTTATCTATAGCTAATTGATGTGTATTATCTGTGATACCGGGTTCGTAAGGCACGTGCGCGGTGGGAGTTGTCGTGGCGGGAGTGTAGGAAGCGACAGGCGGCTGCGGGAGCCTCGACACGGTGGGGGGCCGCGGCAGTCGTCGACCCCGCCCGCTGCGGACAGACCCCGACTCGCTGCTTGGAGGCATCGGTAGTGCTCGACCACGTTTCGGCGTTGATGATGGTGTCGCTACAACGATATAGTTCAAGTTTTAGTTTTTTTATTGCATATATGGGTGGACTAGCTCACAGACCACCTGGTGTTAAGTGGTCACTAGAGCCCATAGACATCTACAACGTAAATGCGCCACCCACCTTGAGATATAAGTTCTAAGGTCTCAGTATAGTTATAACGGCTGCCCCACTGCTCAAACCGAAAGGCATTACTGCTTCACGGTAGACGCGCGATCTAGCTTATGAGTGTGAAGGGGACAGTTAATGTTTTGCTTTTATTAATGTTTAATATAGCGTGGTCTTGTTTTATTATTGTTTTAACATGAAATTATCATTGTCTAATTATAATTGCATAAGTTGATAAAAAATGCTATGCAATAGCTTTACTGCGGCAGTTCCCAAGTGCCACACGTTTTTTTTATTTTATTAGACGGTGTTATTCCTTCACCGTGGAAGTCAATCGTGAACAATTGTTAAGTACGTATTTCATTGGAAAAATTGGTACCTGCCTGCGAGATTTCAACACCGATGCATCGCAAGATACAAATGCACCGGACGTCTTATCCTGTAGGCTCAGAATTTAGTAACATATTGATAGTTTAGCAGATCAGCATTTATGGCGGTATTCTATTGTAAGCAATTTTAGTGTTTTTAAACTCTATAAATAATTATATTATTGGTATTAGAGCATCCGATGAGTCCATACGGATAGAGAGCTCATCTCTACTGCGAAGCACATGCTCTGATTTAAAGGGTGGAAGGTTATACTACAAAATTGAGACTAAATATTTTTGCATAGATTTTAAAATTTAACGTAGCCAAAAAGTACATACCTGGTAGGCTCGCAGCTGTTCTTCTAGGCCGCGGTCTGTACGGCGCCATCTCGTTGTGATCCGAATAACGTGACGACAAAACCGTCTGCAATACGAACATAATTTTACACCGGTAAGAGTAACGCCATCTATCGCCAAATAGTCGAACGAATATCGAAGGATCTAGTAGCATCTAGAACGCTCGAGAAGTAGAACGCCATCTATTTTCACATAGCGGAAATACAGTACTCGGCTTTTGTGGAATATTCTCGACTATTCTAGAGATTTTGTCTCGACTATAAAAGCGTTGCAGAGATGGCGCGCACCAGCTAGTAATCGGAACTGCTCAAAGTGAAACAGAGAACGGACCACCGGAGCGAAGCAGAAAAAGCGAATTGAGAATTTTAAAGTGTTTGTCAAGTGTTTTAAGTGTTATAAATGCTAATACAGTGTTAACTTGTAATTCGATAGTTTTTTTTTTTNCTATTCTAGAGATTTTGTCTCGACTATAAAAGCGTTGCAGAGATGGCGCGCACCAGCTAGTAATCGGAACTGCTCAAAGTGAAACAGAGAACGGACCACCGGAGCGAAGCAGAAAAAGCGAATTGAGAATTTTAAAGTGTTTGTCAAGTGTTTTAAGTGTTATAAATGCTAATACAGTGTTAACTTGTAATTCGATAGTTTTTTTTTTTTATCTTGAACCCCAGAGCGTAACTATAAATTAATAGTGTTTTTTCGGGTTTCGAGAGTCCTAATTAAAACTACTTTCACGGTTTGATGTCCGTGACCACGAAAACTGTAACTGTAGTATTCGAAATGTCAAAAAAAAGAAGCGATATCTCAAAGGAATTTAATTTTATTAAGCGATATACAACATTTTTCCTTCTATAAAGTATTATTCGTGCACTCTGGATCTCTGCGGTGTTTTCTATGCACTCAAACAATATTTATTTTACCCTCGAGCAAGCATTGTACACTAAACCCTATTTTGTTTATCGCACGTATGTATGTAGCGTATCAAAATTGTCTCATTTTAATATAAAATTACAGCTACTTCTAATATTAAATGTTTAAAAAGCTTTTACCAATAGTAAAGTATACGGAAAGTAATTTTATTATTTACTAATATTCGCCCATTGATCGAAATTCGACCATAATCAATAACACCTCAAGGTTAGTAGTCATTTAATTATGGTTATTTTGAAGAGAATAAACTATCTATATCCTAATATTTTTATCGATAGTATTAGTTAACATGATAACAGAGAAAACAATTTTTCATAACGCGCCTAAAGAAGTATAACTTCAAAATATTAAAAACACAATATACTGTGTGACTACTGACCTGCTTAGGCGGCACTTGAGGTAGTTGAACAACGGAAGATCGTCTTTTATTAACGATGTTCTCGTATTCTGTCGGTGTGAGCCCGTAGCCATCATCGAAGAAATACTGTCCTCCACTATCCCACTGTCTCGGCGTATCCCTTACATACGATTGGTATGAATAGCTACTAGTATCGTAGTATTCTTCATAGCTTGGCTGCTGAGATATTACATTTATGTGGTCCCTGAAAAAACTCATTATTTTAGTATATGCGTTTCGGTTTGAAGGACGGAGCAGCCGTTGTACTGTTAAAAGTGAGACCTTAGATCTTATGACTCAAGGAGGGTGGCGGAATTTACGTTGTAGATGTCTACGGGCTCCAGTAACAACTTAACAACAGGTGATCCGGGAGTTCGATCACCTACCTAAGTAATAAAAAAAAAAACACACGTAGCACTTAGGGACTGCCGCGGTAAAGCTATTGCATAGCATTTTTAATCAACTTATGCAATTATAATTAGACAATAATAATTTAATATTAAAACAATCATAAAATAAGACAACGCTATATTTATAAACATTAACAAAAGCAAAATATTAACTGTTCCCTTCACACAAATAAGCTAGACCGCGCGAGAGAGAGATGGGCAGATTTTTCATGAAATGCATGCAGTGCGACGTCACGCCGCGCGCTTATTCACAAACACTACACAAGCGCAACGTGTGAATGTGTTGAGCTACCTGGTAGGTGGAGTAGGGGGTGTTATATTTTATTTTCGTTATGGAATTTCTTGATTCGGTCGCCGCGCTCAAAGCCCGCGATTGAAGCTATGCAATAGCTTAAAAATGTTGGGCACTGTTTAAAATGATCACCTTATCTAATTTTTATCATAGGATCCTAACCGCAAAAGCAGGGTTGATCTGCATTAACTGTAACCACTGTGTTCATCGATAGATGCTTACAAGGAATCATTTTTTACCATCTACCATCCGTTATCTGGATTGAACTCCACTCAACAGTATTTCCCGAACACATCTCCTTCTTCAAACGAGGCAGTGGCAGTAACTCCCAGCGGTAAGCAGCGGCTTGTTTATGTCTGGGTTTGCGGTAACTACTTAATACCAGGTAAGTCATAAGCGCACTTGAATCAGGAGACAAAGGATACCTTACATTTATGTTCACGCTGAGACAACACTGTCTTTCTTTAAATGACCTTCGTAAATAATGATTACATAGATTTCAGTCATTGCTCTCATACTTCCGAACAATGCATATGTTTATGATAGTCAGTTGGAAATATTCACACAACTGTCACTAACATTAGCCACTTTGAACGCTATGGTACAAGCTTTGCGATCGAATTTTCATTCAAACAAATATGCGCTCAATCTAAGTTACCACTAAGTGATGATATGTAATAAGTTGACAGATTTTTTTTACATGATAGTAGACGAACTTATGGTTACTAAGCGGTTACAGACATCACAATCATATCACATCACATCAAATCTAGCGTGAGATAATGTCAACGTAATAGTTAAATTGTGAATGAGCTTACTAGCCATTTCACAATGGCGGTTTTTTTGACCATGTACTATTCGGTATTCAGTAAGTATACTTAATTATATTTGAACGGAGTTGAATGAATTTAAAACCGAATAGAGAGAAATTAATTCTTTAAAATGACAGACGAGATCTTTTACCATACAATAACCGTTTATGTAACTGAAATAAACTTGTCACTAATTAATATGAAAATCGTGAAAACTTATTAAAATTTTAAACATTTGTTAAACTTTTAAACACCGGTTCTTTTTATGTAGAATATTTATTTTTGTAACGATTATTAATAAGAGTAGAAAACCCNAATAGAGAGCAATTAATTCTTTAAAATGACAGACGAGATCTTTTACCATACAATAACCGTTTATGTAACTGAAATAAACTTGTCACTAATTAATATGAAAATCGTGAAAACTTATTAAAATTTTAAACATTTGTTAAACTTTTAAACACCGGTTCTTTTTATGTAGAATATTTATTTTTGTAACGATTATTAATAAGAGTAGAAAACCCAATTTTCACTCGCGGACCACACTAATATATCTTGAGGAGCGGGTGCACGGAACCCGATTCTTAAGTTAGAATTGAAGAAAACCTCAGAGTAGATTTTTTTCTTGAGAAAGAATTCGTATAGAAGTGGGCTTACCCTATATGCGCGCCGCTGGTGGTGTAGGATTCGTATCCGTATCCCAATCCATCATCGTACAATGTGCTCTGCCTTTCTAAGCTTGGACGTCTTTGTTCCTCTGCGAATAAATTTAACAAAAATCTAAATTCGGCTCTGAATAATGACATTTAAAATAGTAATTGAATAGTAACGAACATAAACCATCAAAAAATCATCATTTATATCAACATAATTTAATAAATAGATAAAATTCTCAAATTTTATCAACGAAGTACTAACTATGATAGATAATATAAAACTATTATATATTCCACTTGAATATGTGTTGATAAATATTAAACTGCTTTTTTATTATTATTTTTTATCATTTTCTTATATTCTTTAATTGTCCTTGAAATTTAAAATCATTAATTCGCCATCTAGCGGAAAAGTAATGTAAATACAATGTTAGTACTATAGCCGACAGATGGCGTTATGTACAGATTAAAAATTGTCCATGCTCATGGAACTCACTGTACGTTACACCACCGAAAAGAAAAATAAAAAACATATTGAGATCATTACGTGAGTCATGACTATAGCAGAAACAGATCTGGTTTACTAAGCCCTGATCACAGACCTGTTCAAAACTTATACTTTTCAGAGCATAATTTCAATTTTATTCAAAAGGCTTAAACTAACCTCCAGATTGCCAATCAGCAGCCGTCCGCCAGGATATAGCTGATTCCATGCTCGCCTGTGCGTGTAGCTGCGACCACGTATCCATCCTACAATGTAAGAATTCACGTTCAACCAAAATAGCGAAATAGACTAGTAACAACATCATAGTAGCGTATTTTTTTATATTTATACATCTTTAAACTTCTTTGACACAGACATCAAAGTAAAACTAGAAGTAATTTAAAAGGTTTCTGGCGGCATTTATGTATGGTTGTATGTTTGATGGGTTCCAGTAACTACGCTAGAGGAGCCGTGAGCTGGCTTGTCCATCTAAATACTAAAAAAAGTGAATTTAATATAAAACACTAAGAGAATAATGCTATTAGAAGTTTCAAATCAATAATAAACCAGCGGCCCGCTCCGGCTCCGCTCGGGTCTTTAACAAAAATTTCAACGATATTTGACGTTGTTTTATTTTTTTAAATAAAAGAACACTTATTGCGGTACAACTATAATAGTTGGAGAAATGCTGTCACTACGCTTTTTATAAATAATAATGTGTTCTACAAAGTCGTAGTACATTATTTTATTCTATCATCAATAGTTTTCGCAGGGCACGCGATGTAAAAAATATTTTAGGTAATTTTTTTACACCTTGGGTTACATTATTGGAGTTTTAGTAAGGACGTCTAATTTTTTTCAAAAAAGATTATGGCCTATGTCACTCCCTAATAGTGTAGCTTCCAAATAGTGACAAAGTTTTTCAAATCGGTTCAGTAGTTTCGGAGCCTATTCAATACAAACAAACAAACAAATATTTCCTCTTTATAATATTAGTATAGATAAAGATATACCTATTCGTTCTGGGTTGACTATTGTAGTAAAGTGGATCGGTATCTCCGTGTGTGTGGTATTCATCTCTCTCGTACGAATTCTCTCGCGATGTTTCCAATGATCTCTGAAATAATAAAACCGAATCCTTTAGCTTAGAAGAATTTTTTTCCACCTCGGATCATAACGACTGCTACTCTTTAACAAAATAATTTCACATTGAAGTCGTTGTGGCCTAAAGGATAAGACGTCCGGTACATTCGTGTTGAGCGATGCACCGGTGTTCGAATCCCAGGCGGGTACTATTTTTTCTAATGAAATACGTACTCAACAAATGTTCATGATTGGCTTCCACGGTGAAGGAATAACATCGTGTAATAAAAATCAAACCCGCAAAATTATAATTTGCGTAACTACTGGTGGTAGGACCTCTTGTGAGTCCGCGCAGGTAGGTACCACCATCCACCTTGCCTATTACTGCCGTGAAGCACTAAAGCGTTTCGGTTTAAAGGGTGGGGCAGCCGTTGTAACTATACTTGAAACCTAAGAACTTAGATCTCAAGGTGGATGGCGCATTTACGTTCTAAATGGCTATGGCTCCAGTAACCACTTAACACCAGGTGGGCTGTGAGCTCATCCACCCATCTAAGCAATTAAAAAACAATTTATAAAAACTGAAAACTGTACGATACTATAATTTACAGTGTAGACATTATTAAAACCTCTTTCATCTTAAAGTCTATTAAAGGCGTGATCAGCGATGGAGGTCCTTGCAAACAGTACAATATTCAAAACATAAGTAGGTAGGCAGCGGCTTGACTCTGCCCCAGGCATTACTGAAGTCCATGGGCGACGGTAACCACTCACCATCAAGGGCGTATGCTCAAGGGCTATAGGGGCAATAAAAAAAACATAAAAACGGTAGTAATACAATGTCAATGAAAAACGAAAGACTTAAGCGTAGTAGTAGGTTTGATTATGTCTACGACTTGCCAAAATCGAGCAAAATAGTGTACAAGTAGATTAAGCGTACCTGTGGCGTGTGCATCTGATGCGCTGCGGTTCTAAACTGGGAAGCACTGCAGTTGGCATGTTGGCCGACCGGGTAATTGAGGTCCGAAGTGTAGTCCGAATCTTCTGAATAGCCCGCTGGAATATCAACCGAGAAACTATCAATGCTTGTTAGCATTTTGCTAATATTTAAGAGCAGGCATTTAATTTAATTAAATTTAGTCAATTTATGGTATTTTTCTCCTTATAGGGTAACAGTATCGTTACTTAATAACTTAATGTGAGCAAATTGGTCATATGACCAATGTTTGAAATTTAACGTATATACGCATCTATACTAATATTATTAAGCTAAAGAGTTTGTTTGTTTGAACGCGCTAATCTCAGGAACTACTGGTCCGATTTGAAAAATTCTTTCAATGTTAGATAGCTCATTTATTGAGGAAGGATATATAACATCATTAGACCGATACAAGTGGAGCACCAATAAAAAATGTTTCAAAATATTGTCACTTTCTACGTAAATGAAGTGGGGGGTAAAATT